ACTCAACTAAGAAGATCTTTTGTGTTTTTTTCCTCAGCCGAGTGAAAACGTTTCGGCAGGATGTCATTTCTGTTATAAGGGGTTAGGGTGGGTTTTCAGTCCAGATTATAAGAGACAGTTTGTTTTTTGATTTCCTCTGCAACGGTTAGGACTTTAAGACCACGATTCAGTTGCTCATTTGTGACATAATATGGTGCGTTAACACTACTTCTGAGAGTTTTTGATTGGAATCTTCGAAGTATTTCTATGTCAGAGTTTGCTGCAGTTTTATAATAGTAGAGTTTATGAGAAGTTTATTATCAATAGATAATTGAGAGCGACGATTCATAAGCCATTGCCGATTAGTAAGTTTAAGTCCTAGGGCCTTTCGTTTTGAAAATATATGCGTTCTCTAGTTTAGCTTTCTATCAAGGTGCATACCAAGATATTTAGTCTCGTTGCTTTGGGGTATATAACCACCATTCAGTTTGACGGGCGGAGAGGGATATCGCTTGAGGGTGAATGCCACCTGGATGGATTTTGACTCATGGGACTTTATTCGCCAATCGTTTAACCAGAGAGCTATCTCATTTAAGCCTCCCTGAAGTTTGAGTGAAGCCAAATTAGGGTCAGCATCCACTGATAAAAGAGCAGTATCATCAATAAAGGTACCGACGGTGATTCTTTCCGAAGTAGGGAGGTCATATGTGTAGAGTAAATATAGGATTGGGCCCATAACGCTTCCTTGGGGTACGCCTGCTAAGCCTTCATGAAGTTTGGACTGTTCCATACCCTGTTTGATGAAGAATAGCGATTTTTAAGGTAGGACTGAATAAAGCTTGTGAAATATCGAGGAAGGCAGCACTTTTACAATACTTTTTTTGGTCGAAGACAGAGTAAATCTTTTTAACCAGCCTGTGGACTCGTTCAATTCTGCTGTGTTTTCTCCTGAAGCCAAATTGATGATTGGGTACATGAACCAAAAAGACAAGATCACGCGGGCAGGAGAGTAGCCCGTTAGAATCGCATTAAGGAAAAAAGTTGAACGATTTTGACATTAGCCGTTTATTTACATTTCTTCGTTGCTTACAATTTGGTGGTGGCTTTTTACTGCAATTTTCTTCATTTTCGCTTGTGACAACGTGTGTACACATAAGATAAAGAATAATTTAACACAACGGCATGATTTTTAGAAGAATTTGCATAATAAAAATGATTTTTCATGCGTTCAACAATTTCGCGGTTTTCTCCGTTCTCTTCGTTGTTTACTTCTTACAACAAAGATGGCGTCGAGATTTCGGCAGCTAGAAAATAACTTTTTTCGTTCTTTCCGTCCCGCGTGATCTTGTGTCTTTCGTTCATGGATTGGGTATGAGTTTTCGCTCTTCTATGATTGGAAGTAACCTCTTAAGGAACAAAACTTCCATGCGTTTGGAGATTGTGGGTAGTAAGCTAATTGGTCGATATGATTCTACTTTATCAGCACTTTTTCCGGGTTTGAGAATCATTTTTATTTGTGACACCTTCCATAAAACCCGTAGTAAGGACGGCATTAAGCAAGTAAGTCAAAAAAGTGAGACCTTCTTTGGTTTATTTTTGGCTATACAACCAAAAAATTGTTGCTAGACCGTTTTTTTTTTAATTTGACGTTTTCTACGATCGCAAATTATGCCCATCCCGAGAGCCGCATTAAATACGACGAAAAAAGTTTTGAACGTCCCATTGGTTAAAGCTGAAAATGTTGTCCTACCACCACTGCATTAAAAGCTGGGATATATGAAACTAACTCGCAGTCTTGCAAAACACTAGTTTTTTCGTTATTAAATTTAGTTTTACAATCAATTTAGGACTAGTATTGTTTTCGTATAAAATAGTGCTTAGAAAACCTTACCACAATTTAAAAAAGGTGAAAAAATTAAAAAAAAGTGTTTCTTTATTCACAATATGTATAGTGCGAAAGGTCCAAGTTTCTTTTTCTTAAACCCGGCAATAAACTGAAACTCGGTTCTTAATCAACTTATAAGTGCGCAAAAGTACGAAAAACTGGGTTTTAACGGTTTTGGGGGTGTTTGGAAAATTCCTTACCAGGTATTTCTGCTTTATTCTTTTTTGTAGCACTGTGTAATCAGTGTTTAAAAATTTAAGAAACCCAGAAAAACTGAAAAACGTTGAAAAAATCAGTGGTGGTACTAATTATAAGCCAAATGACAAATACGGTGAAGGCCACAAAGAAGTAAAAAAAAATTATAGCTGAGAGGGGATGAAAACACACATGTTTTTTTAAGCTTTGTAAAACCAAAAGAAATTTTTAATTATTAAATTGTAAAAAAAAGCAAAAAAAAAGTTAGTTGTGAGTAGCAACGTAGATTTACGGACGGACGTGCAGATAAACGGACAGACAGCGTGGTGATCAGCGATCGCGGGTATGAAAACCAGGTTGTACATCACGATCCAGAAAATAAAGGTCGCGCCATTCGCGGACCGCTAACCCTCTCTTCGTCGATTTGACAGCATCCAAACATTCGCTGACGTCACACAATACTTTTGTTTACATTTTCTGGTTCTTGACATTTTAGGTTATTTCAACTTCACAAATTTCCAAATTCGGAAGACTTTGAGCGTTGCTTTGTTTTTTGTTAAAACTTATAAAAAAAGTTATAAATTAAAGAAAAAAATGAGGTGTGCAGTGGTTAATTGTGCTAGTGTAAGTGCCAAAGGATCTGGTGCGGTTTTTTTAGTTTTCCGGCCGACATTGAGTTGGTGGAAAAGTGGATCCAGTTCTGCAGTTCGGAGACCAACGATTTTCAACGCCCGAACCAGCGTCATCTGTGTAAAACACTTCACCACTGATGACTTCGAGAACGAGCTTCAATATAAAATGGGTAAGTTATACTATTTAATTCGCCAATAAACACTTATTGGATTTCGTGAGGATGGTGTGACTCAGGAGTAAATTTCACGAAAGGTAGCCGCCCTCATCGTAAATATGAAACCCCCGGAAGCTTATATTTTTCACTTTTCAGTAACACTGCATTTTATTAAAAGAAATGTTTTAAATTGTGTTAGGCTACGCTGAAAAGCGTAAACTAAAGCGGGGCGTTGTGCCGACAATTTTCAAGCCTGCTGCGGAAATACCAGATCCTGACAAGGAAGCCCAGCAGCAAGTGTACAAAACCATTGTGAGCGATCTACTGGAGCAGCCCACTTCCAAAGGCATTACAAGTTTATATAGTTGAAGTTCTCCTAGTTATAAAAAAGTACATTTCAGAAGCCGAAGGTCTTATGGGCCATAACCGCGCGGACGAGGAGAACTGTGGCATATTGCCATATGCGTTGACGCCTCTGTGTTCCCCACATCGTGCCACAACACCTAGCAAGGTGTTTTACTATGACAGCACGCTTAAGGAGGTTGAGGATCTGCAAGAAAATTGTAAGTTCAAAGTTTAATTAAATTTACATACATACATATATATATATATCTATACAAACCATATTAAAATTTTTTTTGTTTATACGTATTTATGTAGACGAGCTTCATTACGCGAAAACGCTTTTCTCAAAAGCGAACACAGCAGGCAACAAAGCGAGATTGCGGGTTTAAAGCGAGAAGCGCATTTGCAGCAGAAAAGGCATGACTGGGAAGTGGAGTCATTGCGTAAGAGCTTGTCGGAGGTGAGGATGGAGTTGGCAAGTGTAGAAGAAAAGTTGGCAAAAATTTTCTCTGTTGGTCAGATCAGCAAGATGAAAAAAGGCACGAAGAGGCCAACTTGGACGGAAAAGGACATAGCGCAGTCCATTACGCTATATGCTGCAAGTCCAAAGGCATACCGTCTGCTGCACAAGCAAGAATTTCCACTTCCTGGAGTTCGCACCTTGCAACGTTGGGCCCAGAAGGTTGACATTTCTAGAGGACTAATTCAACCAGTTTTCAAACTGCTCGGAGCCTCTACTCACATGACCACCACCCAGAAGCTATGTGTTGTGAGTTTCGACGAAATGAAAGTCAGACAGACTTACTGTTATGATGTTTCGTCGGACTCAACACTAGCGCCCGTGAATTATGTTCAAGTTGCTATGCTTAGTGGTAAGTACTACAATCAACTTTGTTACTTTGATGTTATGATTTTAAAATGTATATATATTTTTAGGTCTTATGTCAAAGTGGAAACAGCCTGTGTTTTCTATCTGGGTCTACATACACAATACCATATATACACAAAAGGCCCTTTTCAGGGCCGCAAAAAATTAACAAAGAGATCAATTTTTGACTGTCGTGATAACGAATAAGAAATGTACATATGAGTAGTCCACTTGCAAACAGCGTTATGTGATGTTATAATAGAAAGCCATAAATTTGAAAAAACGACTACGACAACAAGTAACATTTAAATTTAATCTTTTTTATTATTACCTAAAAATTTGGATAAAAAAGAGCCTTATTAAATTGTAACGTAACATAACATGTCATAAGATAACATTAAAAGTCTATACGACCTAAAGCAGTTCTCTAAGTTCATCAGAAGATGGATACTTTTGAAAGTTTATAAATAAGTATGATAGCGACTTTTTGAAGAAGACT